AGATATTTCTGTCGTAATTCCTGACACTGTTTGTCTCTATGGGATCTTTGTATATTCTTGTTATTGTCTCAATATTATGTAAAAAATAAAACTCAGCAGGGATGGTGGGAGTCATGGACACAACAGGTATGTAGACCCGGGAGCTCAGCACGGGGATAGTGGGAGTCCTATTAATGGGTACTGTGGGTTTACAGACCTGGCAGCTCAGTATAAAGATGGTGGGAGCCCAGAAGGTGTGTAGACCTGGGAGCTAAGCACAGGGATGGTGGGAGCTCCTCAAAATGAACACAGCAGGTGTGTAGACCTGGGAACTCAGCACAAGGATGGTGGGAAACCCTCATAATTAGCACAACAAGGTGTGTAGACCCGGAAACTCAGCGCAAGGATGGTGAGAACCCGTCGTAATGAACATAGCAGGTTCGTAGATCTGGGAGCTCAACACAAGGAAGGCGAGAACCCGTCGTAATGAGCATAGCAGGTTTGTAGATCTGGAAGCTCAATGCAAGGAAGGTGGGAACCCGTCGTAATGAGTACAGCAAGTTCGTAGATCTGGGAGCTCAATGCAAGGAAGGTGGGAACCCCTCATAATGAGCACAGCAGGTTCGTAGATCTGGGAGCTCAATGCAAGGAAGGTGGGAACCCGTCGTAATGAGTACAGCAGGTTCGTAGATCTGGGAGCTCAATGCAAAGAAGGTGGGAACCCATCGTAATGAGTACAGCAGGTTCGTAGATCTGGGAGCTCAAAGCAAGGAAGGTGGGAACCTGTCCTAATGAGCACAGCAGGTGCATAGATCTGGGAGCTCAACACAAGAAAGGTGAGAACTCATCATAATGAGCACAGCAGGTTCGTAGATCTGGGAGCTCAATGCAAGGAAGGTGGGAACCCCTCATAATGAGCACATCAGGTTCGTAGATCTGGGAGCTCAATGCAAGAAAGGTGAGAATCCGTCGTAATGAGCACATCAGGTTCGTAGATCTGGGAGCTCAATGCAAGGACGGTGAGAACCCGTCGTAATGAGCACAGCAGGTTAATATATCCAGGAGCTCAAGACAAGGAGGGTGAGCACTGCAGGTTAGTAGATCCAGGAACTAAACACAAGGATGGTGGGAACCCGTCATAAAGAGCACAGTAAGTTAATAGATCCAGGACCTCAGCCCAGGGATGGCAGAAACCCCTCATAATTAGCACAGCAGGTTAGTAGATCCAGTAGCTCAGAGCAGGGATTGCGGGAGGCTCTCAAACTGGGCACAGTAGGTGTGCAGACGCAGGAACTCAGCAGAAGGAAGGTGGGAGCCCCTCATAATGTGCCTTTTGGGTCTTTAGACCTGGGAAAACAGTGCAGGGATAGTAGAAGGCCTTCTAATTGGGCATAGCAAGTGGGCAGACTCCGGAACTCAGCACAGTGTCCTCACCAATAGACTCCCTGGGCGACAGAAAGGAGTGTCAAGTGTTTTACCTCTCTACTATATACCAACGACTGAAATATCAGTTTTGGGTGGGCTGACCTTTTAAACTGGCAAGCAACAGTGAACTTCAATACCTTTACTACTTCTCTATAAAAGAGACCAGTGGCAACAGAAGCCATTGCTAGAGTAACATACAGTATGACAAAAGTGCAGCACTGAGGAGGGAAAAGTCCCACTTACCTTCTGGTTGGTATTGTGCTACAATTGTCACTGTTTGACCTGCTCCTTTTAAGGCAGCTGCAGCTTGTTCATGGGAAGCACCACGGAGATCGATTCCGTTAACCTACATAAGGGAATAAAAAACAAAATACTTACATCTAAACTTCAGGTGGATATAAACAACACAGTGGTTCTAAGGGCTAATTTTTTTTTTTTTTTTACCTTAATGCATTCTTTGCCATTCTGTTGCTCGACCACCCCTTGTGAAAACCCAAGGGGTATGGTGGATCTACATAGACTTAGGCCACCAATTATGGAAGTATGGATTTGCTACCAAATATGGACTCTTGCCTTATTAAGGACTGTAATGGACTTTTACACCTAAATTAAATATCATTACCTCATAGGGCACAACTAAAACACGACTTAGAGGACTTCATACAGGACTGTGTGTTGAGGATGTCTTTTGAGAACTGTTCATTTGTTACCTTTAATTACTCAGTAAAGTACTTCAATGTTCAATTAAACTGCTTGGTTTAAAGTCACTAAAGGGGGGCACGCATGATGTATCAAAGAACAGTGCTTAAAAAGGGGATAGAAGATACAGTGCAGAGATTTAATGAGACAAGAAACTATCCTAAGGAGGCTATATTGCTAATAACTACTGTACTTGTGTTGTGTGCTTAAGCAACCAACCAGTCAGGAAGCGGGTGATGGAGGCTTTGATGCTGTGGGGGTTTGATGCTTGGTCCCTTCTCTAGTAACCGGTTACCCATATAATGGGACTGGTCTCACGCACGAGGTACCTAGTGACCTAGCCTGGAAGTTATGAGTGATGTAGTGAGGCCTTGGGAGGAGAACAAGCATGGGTTTATGGAGAAGTGAGCTTCCTGTATCCAATAGCAATATTGGGATCAATGTCACAGGAAGTAGTTCACAGGACTACTGGGTTGGTGGAGATCGGTACAAGCTCTCTGGTACTGGTTCAGAAATGCTGCACAACTAGAGAGAGAGCTGAAGTGTTAAGGGTGATGTCTGTAGTGAGCAAATATCAAGAGTGTAAAAGATTGCTGTAAGGAGTTAACAGTATGCTCGCAGAGGAGTCTCAATTTAAATCTAGAGTGCTGCCTTAATGCCGATTTCATCTGACCGCAGCCTCAGCCCAACACTGGGGGCACTAGTGAGATCTCGCACTGAGCCCCCACTACTGGGCGAGTTAAGCCCCACCTACAAAGAGCTTCCTCTAAGGAAGCCACCTACCCTATGAGTAAGCACCTGTTCCTGATAGGGTAAAATGCGCTAGAGGGTCTGCACATCATTGGAGTAGTCTGTTGGATGAATAAATTGTTCCAAAGCTTCTAATAAGGATTCTTTTGCACTTGTTATACAACTATAACAAAACGTTTTTATTAGTAAAGTTAACGGATCAAAATGGAGCAGGTAAGAGACGTTTATTGTAAAATGTGATAAACTCTTTAAAGTGGAGCTGCCCCAAAAGGGGAAGTTCTGCTTTAAGTACTAGTCGCCTGCTCCCCGTGGGGAATTGGCACCTTTGGGGATCGGGGGGGTTCCTGATTTTGACAGTTACTGCTCCCACTTCCGCTGCGATTGGAAGCAAAAGTTGTCCCCCCTCTCCATAGTCTTCTGGGACATATGACAGGTCCCAGAAGACTATAGGACCATTCACAAGGCCAGGGGCGAACTGACCATTTGGAAACTCTGGCACTGCCTGAGGGCCCAGGGTCAGTAGGGGGCCCCATGAGATGCCTCTGGTACTTTTTCATAGGCTTTTTTGAGTTTGGGCAAGGACACAGGGGCCCCATGATCCCTTATTGCCCGGGGGCCCCATGAGTTGTCAGTCCCTGCACAAGGCGCTACACATTTAAGATGCCGGCGCCAGGGAGCGAGAATGGCCGGTGAAAGCGAGTGCGGTGAGCACATTGCTGGATTGAGGGACAGGTGAGTGTTTATTTTTTTGAAGCTGCTGACTTTTATTTATTTTTTGGTTTGACTGATCTGCTTTAAGCCACTGACTTTCATGACTAGGGTTGTCATTTCCTAAAAATATCGATATTTTGTCGTGGTTCTTTATACAATTATTCACAGCACTCATGGACATTATTTTATCAGACAAGTGTATGTCATTTCCCTGTGTGAATGATCAGGTAGACACTTTGACCACAGCAGGTTCAGTGAAGGCTGGTGACTCCGTTGTTGATTGCAGTGCTCGGCTCCAAAATTTTTCTGACGGGGCGGAAACAGATAATGACCATTCTGGCAGCAGTTTGTTGTTATGAACGGATAATCACTACCCAATCTCCACAGTCATCTCCCTGCCAACCGTGCTGCAATTCCGGAGGCGTCATCCATATGTTGGAGTAGGAGTCATGGCTATGTTATTATCGTATTCCGGCGATTTCTCTGACATGGTCAGTGCCAGCTAGTCCACCAGAGCATTTTTTTTCCAGTTTGTAAGTGTTTGTAAGTGCTACAGGGCGGCCACTCTGTGTAAAATCACATGTATACACGTGAGTTTGCACTCCTTGTTGTAGGGTGCACGCCCACCGCACGCGCGGCTTCTGCTGCGAGTTGTCACAGCAGAAGTCGATCATCCATAGGATGAGCGCGAGCGCTGGCACCCGTTGATGGGGAAGGAGAGTAATAGCCAACATGGAAGAAAAATATATTTGAAGCATATTTTCACAACATTTTAAAACATTCTTCACAAATATATTGACATACACATATATATATATACCGTATTTTTGGCTCCATAAGACGCACTTTTTTCCCCCCAAAAAAGGGGGGAAAATGTCAGTGCGTCTTATGGAGCGAATATGGAGCGGCCGGTCCGGTATTTCCACTGCCGCCGTGTCAGAATACCGGGCCGGCCGCTCAGCTCTACAGCGGGACCTTATAGAGATGACTGCTGACCTTTGGGGAGGGGGGGGAGAGGGTACCTGAATTAGACAGGTACCCGCTCCCACTTCCGCGGAGTTGTTCTTTCATCTTACCCGTTCCTCTATCCAGCGGCGCGGTCTTCCCGGCTTCTGTAGTGTGGGCATGACAGCCGGGTGCCAAGTGCGCATGCGCAAGAAGCGGTGTTTTTTGTGAATGGTAAGGCGGCACCTGGGACACATGACAGATCCCAGAAGCCGCCGGACCAATCACAAAGCGCAACTGCTTCTCGCTCATGCACACTGGGCACCCGCCTGTCATGCCGAGCGCCATTACAGAAGCCGGGAAGACAGCGCGCGGCTGGATAGAGGAACAGGTAAGATGAAAGAACAACTCCGCGGAAGTGGGAGCGGGTACCTGTCAAATTCAGGTACCCTCTCCCCCCCCTCCCCAAAGGTCAGCAGTCATCCCCTGTACTATCCACAGTCTCTGGTCATCCCTGTGCTGTCCGCAGTCTCTGGTCATCCCTGTGCTGTCCGCAGTCTCTGGTCATCCCTGTGCTGTCCGCAGTCTCTGGTCATCCCTGTGCTGTCCGCAGTCTCTGGTCATCCCTGTGCTGTCCGCAGTCTCTGGTCATCTCTGTGCTGTCCGCAGTCTCTGGTCATCTCCTGTACTGTGTCCGCAGTCTCTGGTCATCTCCTGTACTGTGTCTGCAGTCTCTGGTCATCTCCTGTACTGTGTCCGCAGTCTCTGGTCATCTCCTGTACTGTGTCCGCAGTCTCTGGTCATCTCCTGTACTGTGTCCGCAGTCTCTGGTCATCTCCTGTACTGTGTCCGCAGTCTCTGGTCATCCCTGTACTGTGTCCGCAGTCTCTGGTCATCTCCTGTACTGTGTCCGCAGTCTCTGGTCATCTCCTGTACTGTGTCCGCAGTCTCTGGTCATCCCCTGTACTGTGTCCGCAGTCTCTGGTCATCTCCTGTACTGTGTCCGCAGTCTCTGGTCATCCCCTGTACTGTGTCCGCAGTCTCTGGTCATCTCCTGTACTGTGTCCGCAGTCTCTGGTCATCCCTGTACTGTGTCCGCAGTCTCTGGTCATCTCTTGTACTGTGTCCGCAGTCTCTGGTCATCCCCTGTACTATGTCTGCAGTCTCTGGTCATCTCCTGTACTGTATCCGCAGTCTCTGGTCATCTCCTGTACTATGTCTGCAGTCCATTAGTTCAGAATTTTTTTTTTCCTGGTTTCTGCCTCTAAAACCTAGGTGCGTCTTATGGTCAGGTGCGTCTTATGGAGCGAAAAAATACGGTATATATATATATATATATATATATATATATATACACTGCATGTTGAAATGCGTTTTTATTACAAAATATATGAAAAATATTTTTAAAAATACATTTCAAATATACTGTATGTCTTTAAAAATACAAATCTACATTTTTGGAATGTATTTACAAATATATGTAAAAATATATGTTAAAATGACTTTTTTATATGTTAAAAAAAATTGAAGAATATATTTAAAAATATATATTTTAAAAAATATATATTTTTTAAATATATTCTTCAGATTTTTTTTAACATATAAAAAAGTCATTTTTTTACATGTTAAGACAGCCTGCACTGCAACTGTTGCATGCAGTTGTGGGGCCCTTGCTTGAATGGGTTACACATATACAAATATATGTAAAAATATATGTTAAAATGACTTTTTTATATGTTAAAAAAAATCTGAAGAATATATTTAAAAAAATATTTTTCATATATGTTGTAATATATAAAAAAACGCATTTCAACATGCAGTATATATACAGTATATATACAGCTGTGCTCAAACGTTTGCATACCCTGGCAGAAATTGTGAAATTTTGATATTGAAAATATGACTGATCATGCCAAAAAATGCTCTTTTATTGAAGGATGATGTCCTTTTCCATCTTTATAAAGTTCCATTACCTTGTTACGCAAAAATGTAGATTTGTATTTTTAAAGACATACAGTATATTTGAAATGTATTTTTAAAAATATTTTTCAAATATTTTGTAATAAAAGCGCATTTCAACATGCAGTATATATATATATATATATATATATATTTAATTGAAATATATTTTTTAAATATATTGAATATGGCCAAAATTGTAGCATTTCAAATATATGGCAATATATTTGGGAAGAATATTTTTAAAATATATTTCAAACATATTTTTCTTCCATATCCTAGATTGTAAACTCGAAAGAGCAGGGCCCTCAATCCCCTCATGTTTTGCATTGTATGGTTATTGTTCTGTCACATGTTCTGTCCCCCTCTGTAATGTACAGCGCTGAGCGAACTATTGGCGCTTTATAAATACTGTATAATAATAATATGGGAGGTCACAGCTCTGCTGATATAAACAAGGCAGAGCGGTCTCCTTTTAGCGGTGATCTGCTAGATTTTCTTGCAAAGCAGGGAATTAAATATTGCCTTTAAAATCACATTACTGTGCACACAAAACATTGGCTAAGACCACAGTCAACCTTTTGATTGCCCCAGATGCTTAACCCCCTTCCCAGCCAGTGTCATTAATACAGTGACAGTGTATATGTTTAGCACTGGTCACTGTAGTGTCACTGGTTCCCGCAAAATGTCAGTTAGTGCCCGATTGCCCAAGACAATATCACAGTCCCGCTATAAGTCGCTGATTGCCACTATTAGTAAAAAAAAAGGAAAAAAATGAATAAAAATTCCAGTGTATATACCATAGTTTGTAGACGCTATAACTTTTGTGCAAACCAATCAATATGCGCTTATTTTTTTTTATCAAAAATATGTAGCAGAATACATATTGGCTTAAAATTTATGAAGAAATGTGATTTTTTAACTTTTTTATTAGTTATGTTTTATAGCAGAAATGAAATATTTGTTTTATTTTTAAATTGTCGGTCTTTTGTTTTTATAGCACACGAAAAAAAAAGTACAGTGGGGATCAAATACCACCAAAAGAAAGCTTCATTTGTGTGAAAAAATAACACATTTTATTTGCGTTGTATGACTGCACAATTGTCAGTTAAACTAACAGTGCTGTATTGCAAAATATGGCCTGGTTATGAAGGTGGGTAAATCTTCCAGAGGGCAAGTGGTTAATTCCCATGATCATCAGTTCCATCTAGTGACCAAAATTTGGTAGTTTTCTGAAATCTCAATGAGAAAACATACCACATTTTGACCACTAGGTGGAGTTGATAATCATAGGAATTAATCTATGATAGAAAATACAGGGAAGATGTGTGCAGTCTAAAGCAGTTTTTCTCAACCAGGGTGCCTTGAGGTTTCTTCAGGGGTGCCTTGGCAAAATGTCTAAAAATTGCCTAAAAATTTGTATAAAAGCCAGCGGGTGGAACAAGTCTAACTTTTAGTTTCACAAAGTCACCAGTTTTCATTGTGCACCATTATGAGCTTCTAGCCGCCAGCGTCCTGACAACCAATGACATCATCAGTTGATAAGGAGGACATCAGCTGCGTGCAGAGCATCCTAGTTTGACCCTCCCCTGCCCCTCTCCATCAGTGCTGGAGTCACATTAGCTCAGTGATGGAGAAAAACTGAGGGAGAAGAGAAACATTGGAATACTAGTCAGCACCAGTGTGCAAAAGTGTATTTGCTTTGGAAGAATAAATCACCTCTAATGTTGGGTGTCCTACATGTGTGGATGTTGCTGCGTTATATAAAACTGTTGGAATAGTTTTTCACATTTTAGAATGGGGTGCCTCAAGACTGTCCATAATTTTAAAGGGTGCCTAGGGACTGTCCATAATTTTAAAGGGTGCCTCGGGGACTGTCCATAATTTTAAAAAGGGTGCCTAGGGACTGTCCATAATTTTAAAGGGTGCCTAGGGACTGTCCATAATTTTAAAGGGTGCCTCGGGACTGTCCATAATTTTAAAGGGTGCCTCGGGGACTGTCCATAATTTTAAAGGGTGCCTCGGGACCGTCCATAATTTTAAAGGGTGCCTCGGGGACTGTCCATAATTTTAAAGGGTGCCTCGGGACTGTCCATAATTTTAAAGGGTGCCCCGGGGACTGTCCATAATTTTAGAGGGTGCCTCAGGGACTGTCCACAATTTTAGAGGGTGCCTTGGGACTGTCCATAATTTTAAAGGGTGTCTCGGGACAGTCCATAATTTTAGAGGGTGCCTCAAGACTGTCCATAATTTTAAAGGGTGCCTCGGGACTGTCCATAAATTTAGAGGGTGCCTTAGGACTGTCCATAATTTTAGAGGGTGCCTTGGGGACTGTCCATAATTTTAGAGGGTGCCTCGGGACTGTCTATAATATTAAAGGGTGCCTCAGGACTGTACTAATTTTACAGGGTGCCTCGGGGACTGTCCATAATTTTAGAGGGTGCCTCGGGACTGTCCATAATTTTAGAGGGTGCCTCAAGACTGTCCATAATTTTAAAGGGTGCTTCGGGACTGTCCATAATTTTAAAGGGTGCCTCGGGACTGTCCATAATTTTAGAGGGTGCCTTGACTGAAAAAAGGTTGAAAAACACGTGTAAATGAATGCTTGTTACGCTCATTGGACAAATGTTTTATAAATAGACCCCGCTGTGTATAAGAAGAAGACTCTTGAGAGAAGTAGTGCCAACGTAGCTATGCCGTAATGAGCAATGGTCCCCAGGACAAACAGGAAAAAAAAAACAATAAAAACCTGATTCTAACCCCTCGACACTTTATCCAAAATCTGGAAAAAAAGTTTCCTGTTTAGATACACTTTAGTCATATTGCCTTTTTCTTTCTACATAGACTAGTAAATTGGAACAGGCTGTTGATAGCATCTCCCAAAAAAGGACAATGATGGATGCTTCAACAAATGTATTTATTTAATTATTATAGGTACTTATATAGCGCCGTCAATTTACGCAGCGCTTTACATATATATATATATATATATATATAGTACATTTACATCAATCAGCCCCTAACTCTCAAGATAAATATAGTGCCTATTAATTATAAAATATGCAGGTATATATTTACATACTAACACTACAGTATATGTACTAAATCATTACATTTCAGGAGAAAAGATGGGGGCCCTTTAACTATGTCTGCACACTCATCTTATAATATTAAGTCTTTGTAATTGTAACTAGCAATGGGCAATCAGCACAGTATTACACCCTTCCAGCTCTAGCTGTGCTTGGATGAGCAGACATCTGCTAGGCAATGTGATCCTGCTGTGTGGATAGCACAGTACACTGCAGTCATCTGTCATCGCAGAAAGGACATCCATTCCTGCACCTGCACATGGGTAGTACTGTACAAGATTTGATCTTTGCAAATGGGAAATTCTTAAGTTGCAAACATCCTCCAAAAGGGCATATTTGTATGTTGTAAAATAAGACTGTGAACACTTACCTTTCCCATGGTCCGTGCTGCTAGAACACATGAAAAATCTTCATTTAAAGTGTATGTGAATCTAGTTCTGCAAACTCTGGGACTAGATTACATAGTTACATAGTTAATCTGGCTGAAAAAGGTCCATCGAGTTCAACCATAAAAAAAGTTATAATCCTAAACCCACAGTTGATCCAGAGGAAAGCAAAAAACCCAGCAAAGCATGATCCAATTTGCTCCTGCAGGGGAAATAATTCCTTCCTGATCTTCCGAGAGGCAATCGGATATTCCCTGGATCAACTTTACCTATAAATGTTATATCCAGTTATATTCTGTGTATCTAAGAAGGAATCGAAGACTTTTTTAAAGCAATCCACTGAGCTGGCCAGAACCAACTCTTGAGGGAGTCTATTCCACATTTTCACAGCTCTAACTGTGAATAAACCTTTCCGTGTTTGGAGATTACATTTCTTTTCCTCCAGACGTAAAGAGTGCCCCCTTGTCCTCTGTGATGACCTCAGGGTGAATAGCTCTACACCGAGTTCACTATATGAACCACTGATGTATTTATACATGGAGATCATATCCCCCCCTTATGTATTATACATGGTGATCATATCCCCCCTTATGTATTATACATGGAGATCATATCCTCCCTTATGTATTATACATGGAGATCATATCCCCCCTTATATATTATACATGGAGATCATATCCCCCCTTATGTATTATACATGGAGATCGTATCCCCCCTTATGTATTATACATGGAGATCATATCCTCCCTTATGTATTATACATGGAGATCATATCCCCCCTTATGTATTATACATGGAGGTCATATCCCCCCTTATGTATTATACATGGAGATCGTACCCCCCCCTTATGTATTATACATGGTGATCATATCCCCCCTTATGTATTATACATGGAGATCATATCCCCCCTTATGTATTATACATGGAGATCATATCCCCCCTTATGTATTATACATGGAGATCATATCCCCCCTTATGTATTATACATGGTGATCATATCCCCCCCCCTTATGTATTATACATGGAGATCATATCCCCCCTTATGTATTATACATGGAGATCATATCCCCCTCTTATGTATTATACATGGAGATCATATCCCCCCCTTATGTATTATACATGGTGATCATATCCCCCCTTATGTATTATACATGGTGATCATATCCCCCTTATGTATTATACATAGAGATCATATCCCCCCTTATGTATTATACCTGTAGATCATATCCCCCCTTATGTATTATACATGGAGATCATATCCCCCCTTATGTATTATACATGGTGATCATATCCCCCCCTTATGTATTATACATGGAGATCATATCCCCCCTTATGTTATATACATGGAGATCATATCCCCCTTATGTATTATACACGGTGATCATATCCCCCTTATGTATTATACATGGAGATCATATCCCCCCTTATGTATTATACATGTAGATCATACCCCCCCTTATGTTTTATACATGGTGATCAAAACCCCGGTTATGTATTATACATGGAGATCATTTCCCCCCTTATGTATTATACATGGTGATCATATCCCCCCTTATGTATTATACATGGAGATCATATCCCCCCTTATGTATTATACATGGAGATCATATCCCCCCCTTATGTATTATACATGGTGATCATATCCCCCCCTTATGTATTATACATGGTGATCATATCCCCCCATATGTATTATACATGTAGATCATATCCCCCCTTATGTATTAAACATGGTGATCATACCCCCCCTCTTATGTATTATACATGGAGATCATATCCCCCCTTATGTATTATACATGGTGATCATATTCCCCCCTTATGTATTATACATGGAGATCATATCCCCCCTTATGTATTATACATGGAGATCATATCCCCCCTTATGTATTATACATGGTGATCATATCCCCCCCTTATGTTTTATACATGGAGATCATATCCCTCTTATGTATTATACATGGAGATCATATCCCCCCTTATGTATTATACATGTAGATCATATCCCCCCTTATGTTTTATACATGGTGATCATAACCCCCCTTATGTATTATACATGTAGATCATATCCCCCCTTATGTTTTATACATGGTGATCAAAACCCCGGTTATGTATTATACATGGAGATCATATCCCCCCTTATGTATTATACATGGAGATCATATCCCCCTTATGTATTATACATGGAGATCATATCCCCCATATGTATTATACATGGTGATCATACCCCCCCTTATGTATTATACATGGAGATCATATCCCCCCTTATGTATTATACATGGTGATCATACCCCCCCTCTTATGTATTATACATGGAGATCATATCCCCCCTTATGTATTATACATGGTGATCATATCCCCCTTATGTATTATACATGGAGATCATATCCCCCCCTTATGTATTATACATGGAGATCATATCCCCCCTTATGTATTATACATGGAGATCATATCCCCCCTTATGTATTATACATGGAGATCATATCCCCCCTTATGTATTATACATGGAGATCATATCCCCCCTTATGCATTATACATGGAGATCATATCCCCCCTTATGCATTATACATGGAGATCATATCCCCCCTTATGTATTATACATGGAGATCATATCCCCCCTTATGTATTATACATGGTGATCATATCCCCCCTTATGTATTATACATGGAGATCATATCCCCCCTTATGTGTTATACATGGAGATCATATCCCCCTTATGTATTATACATGGTGATCATATCCCCCCTTATGTATTATACATGGAGATCATATCCCCCCTTAATCTCCTCTTCTCAAGAGAGAATAAATTCAGTTCCTCTAATCTTTCCTCATAGCTGATCTCCTCCATGCCTCTTATCAGTTTGGTTGCCCTTCTCTGTACTTTCTCCAGTTCCCCAATGTTCTTTTTGTGAATTGGTGCCCAAAACTGAACTTCATATTATTATTATTATTATTATACAGGATTTATATAGCGCTAACAGTTTGCACAGCTCTTTACAATATAAGGGTGACAGTACAATTACAATACATTTCAGTACAGAAGGAATGTGAGGGCCCTGCTCGTGGAGCTTACAATCTAAAGGAAGGATCCAGACCAGGTGTTACTAATGATTTGTACCGGGGTAATATGATATCTCTCTCTGGAGTCTATACCTCTTTTAATACAAGAGAGGATTTTGCTCGCTTTAGAAACCTCAGCTTGGCATTGCATGCCATTATTAAGCTTGTGATCTACCAGAACCCCCAGATCCTTCTCCACCATTGATTCCCCCCAGTTGTACCCCCCCTAGTATGTATGATGCATGCATATTCTTAGCCACCAAGTGCAGAACCTTACATTTATCAACATTAAACCTCATTTGCCACATAGTTGCCCAATTACACAGAGCATTGAGGTCGGCTTGTAAATTGGAGACATCCTGTAAGGACGTTATTCCACGGCACAGCTTGGTGTCATCTGCAAAGACTGAAATGGTATTGATAATCGCAGACCCTATATCATTTATAAATATATTAAAAAGTAAGGGTCCCAACACTGAACCTTGGGGTACACCACTGACAACCCTAGACCATTCAGATTACTTTATCTTTGACAGTCAACACCTGGTACCTTTTGTTTATTCAATAAAACAGATATTCTCAACCAGGATTCCTCCAGAGGTTGCTAGGGGGTTCCTTTGGCTGTGGCTAATTCACATCCTATTTGATGGTGCCTGCATACTGCCAGCGGCATACCAATGATCTTTTTATCTGTCTGTAAGGGGGGCATTCTTCCCACTGACCATCAATGCAAGGGACATTCTTTCCATTGACCACCAATGTAAGGAGCATTCTTCCCACTGATCACCAATATAAGGAGCATTTTTCCCACTGACCACCAATGTAAGGAACATTCTTGCCACTGATCTCCAATGTAAGGAACATTCTTGCCACTGGCCACCAATGTAAGGAACATTCTTCCCACTGATCACCAATGTAAGGAGCATTTTTCCCACTGACCATCAATGTAAGGAGCATTCTTCCCACTGATCACTAATGTAAGGAGCATTCTTCAAATTAACCATCAATTTAAGTAGCATTCTTCCCACTGATCTCCAATGTAAGGGACATTCTTCCCACTGATCGCCAATGTAAGGGCCATTCTTCCCACTGATCACCAATGTAAGGAACATTCTTCCCACTGATCGCCAATGTAAGGAACATTCTTCTCACTGACCACCAATGTAAGGAACATTCTTCCCACTGACCGCCAATGTAAGGAACATTCTTCCCACTGATCACCAATGTAAGGAACATTCTTCTCACTGACCAGCAATGTAAGGGGCATTCTTCCCATTGATCACCAATGTAAGGAGCATTCATCCCACTGATCACCAATGTAAGGAACATTCTTCCCACTGATCACCAATGTAAGGAGCATTCTTCCCACTGACCAACAATGTAAGAGGCATTCTTTCCAGTAACTATCAATGTAAGTTTTCCCAATGACCAGCGGTGATTACAACAGACACCTAAAATTATTCCTATATTCATCTAGGGTATGGGGTCTCCAAACGTTCTAAACAAATGGCCAATTTACTGTCCTTCAAACTTTAGGGAGGATGGACTGTGGCAATCGGGAGTAGAAATTGGCAGCAGGTCGGTGTCATATGTTTTAAGATTTCCTCAGACTTACATAGAAAATATATTTGTTTTAGAAGAAGACATCAGCTACGTTGAGTGAACATTTCTCAAACAAATGCTATTGGAAATGTTTACACATGCTGTCCTCTTATACAATGAAACATAGATACTATTGTTGTATATTGGGTGAATGCAAATTAGTCGATTGGGCAACGTATACATTTTTAGCTGCTCCCATTGTAACAGAGGAAGACATGTCAAACTTGGGGCCAAACTATATCAATAAGGGTCAACAATAGCTTGACATTTTTGACATATGGCATGTATGATACAACAATGCCATCTAGTCTTTGCGTTGGGAAATGTTTTTACTCATAGAAAATATGGAAGGAAAAGTAGATAGAAAGGGCCACATCCACATGGGAATGGTTAAACTTTCTAAATAAAAGGTCAGCAGCATATGCTGGAAATGAAGGCTAAGCAGGAATTAAGGGCTGTGCCAGGGGGCTCCAAAACCACAAGATGACCAAAGAAGGAACTTCACTTGGGGATGATGCTAAAGCTACTCAATGAGAGAGACCAATTTCTGTAATCACTTGAATAGCTGGGAGCCTTGATTGCCTACAGAGATGGTGAAGCTGCTATAACCTGATCTAATTCACTTTTTTAGCTGCTTCCACTGTAACAGCGGAAGACATATCAAACATTGGGGCAAAACTATATCAATAAGGGTCAACAATAGCTTGACATTTTGACATATTTGACCTATGGCATGTATGATACAACAATGCCATCTAGTCTTTGAGTTTGGAAATGTTTTTTGCTCATAGAAAATATGGTATAAGAAGTAGATAGAAAGGGCCACACCCAGGGGCATATTTACCACAAGGCAAACAAGGCACTTGCCTAGGGCGGCATTTTTCAGGGGGCCAGCACCTCCCCCCAAAAGAAGAAATGAAAGAAGGGACACGTGCTCCATGGGAACCAAGTGGGCGGCTTAATGGTGTATGTAGAGCCTGACTCTGATTCCCAAGGATGTCCGGAGATGAAGATTAGTGTCATTCTTGGTGTCCATGGGGGCAAAAAAAAATTTGTGTTGCCTAGGGCAGCACAAAACCTAAATACACCAATGGCCACACCCACATGGGAATGGTTAAACTTTCAAAATAAAAGGCCAACAGCATAAGCTGGAATTAAGGGCTCCACAACAACAAGTAAGGACTGTGCCAGGGGCCTCCAACACCACAAGATGACCAAAGAAGGAACTTCACCTGGGGATGATGATAAAGCTACCCAATTAGAGAGACCAATGTCTGAAAACATTTGAATAGCCGGGAGCCCTGATTGCCTACGGAGATTGTGAAGCCGCTATAACCTGAGCTAATTCACTTTTAACATATTCCTATTGTACATAGACCACTGTTCATGCTCAAGTGTAGGTAGGGTGTGCATGTGTGCTGCATGTACTGTATATCTGCAACACTTTGTGTGCTGTATATTGTCTTCCTACAATTGTAGGCAGTTTGTATGTATATAATTTTTGTTTACCAAATCACATTAATACACTACAGGGTTTATGCTTCCTTGCTTTTACCACAAAGTGACCTTAAAAGCAAACCAAAGCAAACCACATGATTCGCTGACATTCAGGGCTCTAAAGGGCTCCTGGGATTTGTAGTATCAGCAGATGCTAGCGATCATCATTAGTAGTCTCTGCCCTCACCCCTTGGAAATTGAGGAGGAAGAGAGGGTATAGAGGTCATGTTACCACTACTAAAAAAAAAAAGCTAAACAAAATAATATTTACATGCTTTTTAAATTTAATAAAGTGATTTGTTGATGTTTGTTTGATGAAGTCATGCTAATTGTTCATTGTTTTTAAAAAACACAAAGAAGTCTATTGATAAAAAAAAAAGTCGCATAGTGATTTGTCCAGTGAATTATGTGAGGATTGGGCAAAAAAAGAATGCTATTTAGGATATTTTCTCTTCTGAACAAATACTTTATTCACTCTGTATTTTGCTATCAGGAGAATTTTTCAGACACCACACCCCCTATTATTATTCTTAGTATTATAATACAGGATTTATATAGCGCCAACTGTTTGCTCAGCGCTTTATAATATAATGGGAGACGATACAGCAACAATACTGCTCCTTGGAGCTTGTTAACCATAGCCTATTGGGTTTTAAAGGTTTTCAGCGGTTACTTATTTGCAGTCCTATACAGTAATTGTATATTTATTTATTACTTTCCGCATATATATATATATATATATATATATATACAGTGAGGAACAGAAGTATTTGAACACCCTGCGATTTTGCAAGTTCTCCCACTTAGAAATCATGGAGGGGTCTGAAATTCACATTGTAGGTGCATTCTCACTCTGAGAGACAGAATTTTTTTAAAAAAATTCAGGAAATCACATTGTATGATTTGTAAAGAATGTATTTGTCTTGCACTGCTGAACATAAGTATTTGAACACCTAAGAAGATCAGTGTTAATATTTGATACAGAAGCCTTTGTTTGCAATTACAGAGGTCAAATGTTTCCTGTAGTTCTTGACCAGGTTTGCACACATTGCAACAGGGATTTTGGCCCACTCACTGTATATTTACGTCAGCCCCTAACCCTTAAGGGGCAAACAGTCTAAGATCCCTAACTCGCAATCATACATATCCATACTAGGGCTACATTAGACAGGATCCAATTAACCTACCAGCATACAGTATGTTTGATTTTTAACCCATTGATGCCGATGTAACACAAATATGCAGAACTGGGCTTTTTTTCCATGGGGCTGCATATTTGAGTACCTGTCTTTCTGCTGGGAGCGCGCCACATGGCACACTCCCAGCACAAAGACCGCAGTGTAACTGAGAGCACCAGGTCCCGTTCTAACGGATCGGGACCCAATTCTGGGTCACATGATCGCTGTGATAGCCTCTGATTGGGTATCACAGTGATCAGTCATAGTGCAGCCTCTTTGTTTTTTTTTTCTCTCTAAAAATGGAGAAGAGAGATACAATGTATCTCTCTAACTCCTGGCATAGAGGGAAAAAATGTTTGCAAATAAATAAATAATTAAATAAATATTTAAAAAAATAAAGAAAAAATACCTAGATCAAGGTTTGATCTAGTTCAGTGCCAGGGTAAGTGTTTAGGTCAAGATCAGGGTCAAAGGTCAAGGTCACGATTAAAAAAAATTGGTGTGTGTTATTGTCAGTGTGTTTTAGGTAAAAAAAAAAAGACAAAAACAAAATGCACAGTATTGTTTCTGGGCTGTACTCCGGGTACAAACAACAAATAACATACACATATATGGTATCGCTGCGATCGTCAAGAGCTGGAGAATTTATTTTGGATTGTTCTTTGGTGGTAGGTTATGGTAGTACAAGAAACACACAGCTAAATAAAAAAAAATTTTTTTTTTTACTATTTTGGGCCAGTTTTCCTTTGATAATAAAAAAAATCAGGAGATATCCATTACCATTTACTACGAAATGAAAGCCAAATTTGTCCTGAAAAAAACCAAAGTATAATTCACCTGGATGTACAAAGTAGTTGTGATGATATGTACAGTTTTATTAACACGTGTCAACGTTGCAGAATTGTGCTTAGGCAGTAAGATTTGTTTTACCCTTAGGCAGTAAGGGGTTAAGGACTGTGAATCAATACTGAAAGATATTTTAGTGTTTGGAATCTATAAGTGTCTATGAAACACCTTGAAGGCCCCATTAAGTTATGGTTAGCGACTTGTTTCTACTCGAACAAATGAACAAATATTATTATGTTATTTGCAGTAGTAAATTACTGCATACCATTCATTACATTTTTTTTTAGCATTCTCTAGAATTGTTAAACTCTTGTTACAAAGATGTATGTATTCCTTATTCTCCTCAGCTCCAACTAGTGGCCATAGTGCAGTATTTTACTACCGCAAAAATGATAGGAACGTCCGTTTAGAAGGGAAAAAAGCCTAAACAACATTCGTATTTGCCTAGTTTGCACAGAACACATGTACATGCAGATTCAGACAGCTATGCACGTTTTTTTTATAAATACACTTTACATTCTCCTTGGAAACTGACACTTCCAGAAGTGTCAGAAAGTCGATCAAGGTGTCCTACCGCCCTATTGGTTTCTCCGCTGACCTTTGAGGAGCCATTGAGAGTGGCAGGTGACTCGGTTTATCAACGCTACCAGAAGTGTCAACTTTCATGTGGATTTCACATGAAGGTTTCTTATGAACAGGGTGGTGTTCTGTCATCTAAGGCTTATGGAAAGGTGAGTCTTATTTTACAGGTTTTTTCCGTTTGTAGGGTTTTTTTTTACTTTGTGTGTATGTTCCTCTAAAGAAAAAACCTTTCGCTGCTCTCCTAGCTTTTTTTTATTAGTGTACACTGTTTGCCGTACATGTGCAGTGCAGTGTACACCCCCAGCTCAATCCTGGTATCTATAAACTGGGTTCTGGGGCAACTGGGGTAACTACTGGGTGCATGCGCAGGGCTTACATCATCACTACATGCCTGTCAGGAATGGACTCAGCACTGGTGGTGGGACTCACCTGCCGTGTAGGCTGCAGTACCAGAGCTGACCAGCGGGTGCTCTCAGCAGCCAGAAGCTCACTTCTGCAATCAGCCAAACCTGGGAATGATTGCAGAAAGGTGTATTTAAGGCATGACCAGGCCTGTGATCTGGGCCTTGGTGTATGTTTTCCCATGAGCCTCTGTACCTGGTATCTTGTGTTCCTGCTTCGTTGCTGACCCGGCTTGATCCTGACCTCTGCTGAC